ATGGTGATAATGGTGATGGTGATAATGATAATAACAATAATGATGAAATTAATGATCTTGATGAAAGGACATTAGATTTTTTACATTTGGTTAGTATTACTAAATCTCACCAGTGTGATTTCACTGCTTGGGTAAAATTTTATAATTCCCTGATCAACTCCTAACACCCTTAATCCTAACCCCACCCCACGTAAATTTAATTCCTTGGGGTGACAATCATCACCGGTGAAATTTAGTAATTTTCAGTATAATTATATGTTAATAAATATATTATTTTTTTTAGGTTATTGAAAATAACTTATCTAATAAAGTTGGTGATTCAATACTTAAATTTATCAAAAAATGGAAATTTTTTGATAATAAATCATTACCATCTTCAACAAATGCTGGAAAAATGATAATAGATAAATTGAATAATAAAATAAATGATTTTAAAAAAATATTAGTTTTAAAATATAATGAAGAAGATTATTTTTTTTATTATCGTGATATAATTGATGCTATAAAAGAACTATTAGTAAATAAAGAAATTTCAGAAAATTTAACATTTAATTATGAAGAAACATATACAGAAATTAATGTAAGTTTTAATTCATTATTATATTTTAATAAAATCTATATTAAATTTATTTGCATTTTTATTCAGGGAAACAAATATAGATGTTATAAAGAAATTTATAATTCTAATTGGTGGAAAATAAATCAAGAATCTATTTCTAAAGATTTTAATTTATTATTTTTAATTATATATTCAGATGCAACAACATGTGATCATTTAGGCAAAACTTCACAGCATCCAATTTATTTATCTTTAGGAAATATTCCTAATTATATTAGAAATAAAGCATCTTCAAAAGTTCTTTTAGGTCATCTGCCTATATTACAAAATAATAAAAATAATAGAAATAATACTGAATTTAGGAATTTAACTAAAAAAGTTTTTCATAACTGTATGGAAATTTTATTTCAACCTATTTTATTAAAAAATCAAACTGGAATAAAACTTAGAATTAATAATCAATTAGTTTTATGTATAACAAAATTAGCAATAATTATAGCTGACTGGCCAGAAGCTTCTGATTATTGTTTAACTTTCAAATCAACACAATCATCATATCCTTGTCATACTTG